ATTAAAAATCCTTGCGATTGAAAGCTATAAAAATAATAATAAATGAACTGTTTTTTTTTTAAATCCGTTAAATTGAGGGATGCAATAAAAGCAGATGTACATTCAACGCTGGTTGTTTTAATGTTAAATAACTCTCGTGACATTCATGCGAATATCCCTTTTCACAAATTAAAATCTTCAGTCTCGAATGCAAAGAATATAATTACGCGAATGCTGTTTCAAAAATATATCCAAGGTTTATTTTTATTCCCACCCCTCTTGGCCTCTTTAAAAAGGTTAATGAACTATCTCATTATCTTTTACTGCGACGAAAGTCTCTGAAGGCAATTCACTCTCGCCGAGATGCCTCATGCGAGTCACGATCAAAGATTCAGAACGATTATCCGGTTAGCAAAAAGCGAAAAGAAAGTTAAATCGTCGCTGAGAGCATTTCTAAGGACGCGAACCGGTCACGTTTTACGGGTTCTTGCTCTCAAAGGATATCGCGATATCGTCCGACTGGGACTGTCAATTTCCATATCAAACATCTTGAAATGTCGGCGATAAAATTGTTTGGCAATAAAACATAGATTTCGAAATTCGGCTTCGTGATAGAGGGTGGAAAGAGAGAGAGAGAGAGAAAGAGAGAGAGAGAGAAGGGTTGCACAAGACCCTAGACAAGACAATATTCGTAAAAATATTGTATTGGTATCGGAAATTTTCAAAAATTTAAATCTTGTCTTGATCTTGAGTGAATATTGGTAGCAAAAATCTCGTCTTGTCTCGATTTTATTAACAATTTTTTCTAATATTAAAAAATTATTTAAATAATATTTAACATAATTTTTGTAATATAAGTTGAAATAATTATTACTATTGTATTATATTTTAATTATAATTATTACTATGTAATCGATATAAATGCCATCTATTTACTTAAAAAAATATTTACTGTTTCATGGAAAACAGAAATTAATAACTATTTACAGGCTCCAAGGGAATGTGCAGATATAAATATTTTGGAGTGGTAAAAAATCAGGTTCATATTTATCCCACATTGTCAAAAATGGCTCGAGACATTTTAAGTTCAACTGTCTCATCCGTGCCAGTAGAAAGACTTTTCTCAATAGAAACTCTGACTATGTCAAAAAATAGAACCAGATTACAAAGTAAATCTTTAAAAGCACTAATGTGCATTAATTCCTGGATGAAATGCTCTTTAATGTCTAAAATTTGCGAGTTTGATTTCTAATTTATAAAAATGTTATATTGTATTAATATTAAATGCTTTTAAATTTATCAATATAAATGTTTTTATTAAATAAAATTTTTTTAAAATTCGTATATAGTGATTTTTTTTTCATTTACAAATATAAATATTTTAGTTTTTTTGAAGAACCAATAATCTTGACAAGACTAATAATCTTGACAGTCTTAGTCTTGGTATTGTCTTGATAACTAATTAAAAATCTTGTCTTGATCTTGTCTTGAAATTCAAGACAAGACGAGACAATATCAAGACTAATCTTGGTATCTCGTGCAACCCTAAAAGAGAGAGAAAATTTCGATCAGAATTTATCGATGATAAATTTTCGCAGGGGACTTGTTCATGTAGAATGATATTTATTACTGTCTGTTAAAAAAATCTTTAAGCGCGTTAGCACAATTAAATATGCCATAATTTTATTAATAACCTACTTTGAGATGCGAAATTCGGTTTATCCTTAATTGACTGCTGGAGGGCAAACCCATCCAAAGGCTCTCTCCGTGCAATTTCGTAATCGATTTATATCTCCGCGCCACATCTTTCTCGTTATACTCGACTCGTAGTTTCTCTCGAGTAAAATTACATACACTTTTTCCCCGGGCATTTTTATTCCAGACATGTCACGTTCCGAACCCCGGCAAGAGTAGTCGGGGATTAATCTATGTCGTTTTATGGTGCCGCATCATCGTAATTGTGCGTCGTTTTCCTTAATTAACTCGGAAATGCTGAGCTCTGCGAGAGCTCCGTCGATCTTTAAGCAAGATTGCTGCGCTTCTGTTTGACCTTCTCTCTCTCTCTCTCAAGATGCCATCTCTCTCTCTTTCTTCTCCTCCATCCGTCTCTTTCCCTCGATTTCGACCGCGTTGTATAACTTTACGAGGGAATAGCGAGAATGAAAGAGGGAATGTCCCGAAACACACACACACACACACACACACACACACACACACACACACACACACACACACACCGAGACGAGACGCAATTCAGGCAGCTGGCGTCGCGAAAAATTCGACAAGATGCTTCCCGAAGGAAAGGACGGACGCGATTCACGGGCTCGATATGAAAATAGCACAAATTTTTACGGGCGCGACGAAATACGAAGCTGCTCATCGCTCTCGTCTCTCGAGCGTATCGAGGCGAAAACCCGACGTGGTCGATAGTCGGGAAATACGGGTGTCACTCGGAAATTTCCGACGTGAAACGCGATACGCGCGTGGAAAAGACGCGAGCCCTCGAAACAGATGGAAAAGCGCTCCGAGTCGAGACGAGGAGGCCGAGGATGAGAGGGAGCTCGAGGGATCCGCGAAGAATTCATTTTCTGTCTTTAATGGCGTACGGTCAAAATTACTCATCGCGAGAATAAATCGAATTTATTTATTTATAATATATTATGATATATTTATAATATATTTATTTATAATTTATTTAAAATATTTAAAACGTGCAGACAATAATTACACACATTTTTTACTAATTTATAGGAGAAAAATAAAGCTGGCAAGATGATGGCGTTGGAAAAGTATGATTATTACGATTTGCTTTATCATGTCGATCGATAGAATCGCTGCTCGATAAACAGAATTTATTTATAATATTCATTTATAATTTATTTATAATATTTAAAACGTGCACACAATAATTACACACATTTTTTACTAATTTATAGGAGAAAAATAAAGCTGGCAAGATGATGGCGTTGGAAAAGTATGATTATTACGATTTGCTTTATCATGTCGATCGATAGAATCGCTGCTTGATAAATAGAATTTATTTATAATATTTATAATATATTATAATATATTTATAATATATTTATTTATAATATTTATAATATATTATAATATATTATAATATATTATAATATATTATAATATATTTATAATATATTTATTTATAATATTTAAAACGTGCATACAATAATTACACACATTTTTTACTAATTTATAGGAGAAAAATAAAGCTGGCAAGATGATGGCATTGGAAAAGTATGATTATTACGATTTGCTTTATCACGTCGATCGATAGAATTGCTGCTCGATAAATAGAATTTATTTATAATATTTATAATATATTATAATATATTTATAAGATATTTATTTATAATATTTAAAACGTGCACACAATAATTACACACATTTTTTACTAATTTATAGGAGAAAAATAAAGCTGGCAAGATGATGGCATTGGAAAAGTATGATTATTACGATTTACTTTATCACGTCGATCGATAGAATCGCTGCTCGATAAACAGAATTTATTTATAATATTCATTTATAATTTATTTATAATATTTAAAACGTGCACACAATAATTACACACATTTTTTACTAACTTATAGGAGAAAAATAAAGCTGGCAAGATGATGGCATTGGAAAAGTATGATTATAACGATTTGCTTTATCACGTCGATCGATAGAATTGCTGCTCGATAAATAGAATTTATTTATAATATTTATAATATATTATAATATTTTTATAAGATATTTATTTATAATTTATTTATAATATTTAAAACGTGCACACAATAATTACACACATTTTTTACTAACTTATAGGAGAAAAATAAAGCTGGCAAGATGATGGCATTGGAAAAGTATGATTATAACGATTTGCTTTATCACGTCGATCGATAGAATCGCTGCTCGATAAATAGAATTTATTTATAATATTTATAATATATTATAACATATTTATAACATATTTATTTATAATTTATTTAAAATATTTAAAACGTGCATACAATAATTACACACATTTTTTACTAATTTATAGGAGAAAAATAAACCTGGCAAAATGATGGCGTTGGAAAAGTATAATTATAACGATTTGCTTTATCACGTCGATCGATAGAATCGCTGATAATAATCATACACAACGATAATGACGGGAGATCTGTCAAACGTGAACGCTCCAATTGCTATTGTTTCGCTTCGCCTGTATTTAACTTATTTTACGCACGTATAAATTGATTTCGTTGCTTATCTCGAATCTCGTAAATGTAGGTAAAATGTAGTCAGGATATCGAGACGAAAGAGTGAAAGCCGAGGGGGGGCGAGAACGAGCATTTGGGGCGCGTGCACGCACGCCCGTGTGTACCGCACGCAATGCAGGAAGGTGAAAGGCGTAGGTGGACGGATCGATAGAGCAGGTGGCAGCACGTCGGTGCTCTCCCTGGCTCGCTTCCGGCGCGGAGAGTCCAATGACACTCACTCGGCCGATCGAACGATTGGCCTGGCACGATTATGAGAAATAATATCGAGGCTAATTCGCGCGAATATCGGCGATCGGGTCTCGTTCGGATAAGACGGTATTCGGGTCTTAATCCCCTCCCCCTGGATTAATTTATTTCCTTAGGAAAAGTTCGCGAAATGATTTCGATAAATTTAAATCCTACTAAAATATCGATTAAAAATCTCGTTTCTCCGATGGAGATTTTTGACAGATAATTAATTTTATGTTTACATGTATTGTAAGGATTCCCCATTTATGTATCTGAAGCTTGGAAATGTTGTTTCAAACATTGTTTTTATATCAACAATATTTTAATTTATATGAGAGGACGTTGTATAAATTAAATTTATACAACATTAAATTTGTATTTATTAAATATTAAATATTAAATTTATATTAATTTATACAACAATGAATTTCGTGTTGTACAATTTAACGGGCTCGCGTGTGGGTATTAGTGCGATATTGTATATGAAAAGAAATTAGCAAATCTGAAATGAGAGGAATTTATGGCACTTACTTTGCGGATATCTTCTAAATTGTGAATTTCCGGCGACAGGCCGCCGTGAACGCAGAGGAACTGTTGGTTCATGAGGGCGGCGAGCGGCAAACAGTCGAAGGCATCCATGCACGCGTCGTACACCCTCTCGGAGTATTTTATTTTACCTGCACAGAAAAAAAGGACATTCGTGTTTTGAAAAATATATTTAGTTTAAACATGGAAATCTTGAAATAGGATTATATCGCGTTAATTAAAGAAAAATACAATTGCTTGAATAATTGCTTACTTGAATGAAGCCATTTTATACAGTTCGATCGAGAAAAATATATTCTCATAATTTAAGATTTAATTTTCTTGAATGAAAAGAAACAATGTTGGATAGAAAATAACATTTTTAAATCAAAGATATAATATAATAATTAAAGATATAATATTATATCAAAGGATCGTTGGAAATAATATAATCGACCAAAAATAGCAAGAAATTTTTTGTTCCGGCTAATTTTGGTCGATTATATTATTTCCAACGATCCTTTGATTAATTGACTAGCAATATTAAGATAATTTATGTTATAATATTATATAATATTATATAATATTATATAATAATTAAAGATATAATATTATAATTTTCTTAAAGTAGAATTAAATAATTATATATGCTTAAGGTGATAATTACAATATTAAAATAAGACTATAATATTGTTGAAATTTAAAATTATTAAATTCTTCTAAGAAAACTATAAATTATTGCGTATATACGAAACAATGAACGCATTAGTTTAAGGATGTATTGGACGGTCTGTATCAAAAGTTAATCCAAAGGATCAAAAAATTAAAGTTGGACAGAATACGAATTCCAATTAATCAGAAATTTTTTAAAAATCACGAAATCATACTTCAAAGTATTCTTTAATATAAATAGATCTTAATTTCCAAGAAAATGTTGCCACGTTTTATAATCAATATTGCGTCAAACCGATAATCACAGTTATTTTTTAATAATAATTTCAAAACGAGCAAGTAAATCGTTTGAAAACTTTGTGGGAACATTTTTACATGTATGAAGAATATAATATTACAAAATGAAATTTTTATCATTGTTTTTTAATAGTTTGTGAATAATTTATTACCTGTCTCTTGAACGTTTACATAAGATTCTATGCTAAAATCGCAAAATTCAAAAATTAATAACTTTTAAAGGAGCAAGTAAAACAATTTGAAATAATTCATGACGATTTAGAATGTTATTAAGAATGTTAAATTAGAAACGGCGATCTCATTGATTGCAATATATCTCCAATACATCCTTAAATAATTATATATTTTTAAGATGACAATTACAATATTAAAATAAGACTATAATATTGTTGAAATTTAAAATAATTAAATTCTTCTAATAATACTATAAATTATTACGTATATACGAAACAATGAACGCGGTAGTTTAAGTATTATATATAAGTTTTGATTTGACACTTCTTTTTTTTTCTGTGTGAAAAAGCGAAAGGGAGACCCAGATTGAAGGCGCTGGACAAATGTGTCTTCGCATAAGAAGAGGGAAAAACAATTTACCATTCCGTCAACGTTATGACACTTATGTCACTATTGCTTCCGGTTAACTTCTTACGAGATAGGGAGATCGGAGGAATTCGTCGTGGCCGAAGAAAATAAAGGGAACGAGGAGCACGTGGCCATGAGGGAGCCATAAGAAAGGATACCGAGAGAGCGAGGTTGGAATACGTGTGATTCTTCTATGGCCACCATTTCGCGAACGAGCAGCAAAAAGGATGGCAAACACGGGAGCTATTTCACGTCCTCTCCCGCGCGTCCTCGCAGAATAATGGACATCCTGCGACGACCAAGGATCTACCCGCGGCCCGCGTCGTCCACGCCTGTTCTGTGTCACGCCAATCTCGCGACCTAAGCACTCCTCGTCTATCGTCGTGTACAAGCGCGACCCCGATGTACAGAGCTAGAGACCATCTCGCCGGTCACGAACCACCCCACCGTGAAACTTGGTGCGGTTGCTCGTTGTCTCATTTCTCAAGTGAAACGTACCGATCCTCCGCCAAAGTCCGTGAGTTTACTCTCCTTTTTTCCCCCGATTTCCAACTTCTGATTACTTTCGTAACTAACTTGCACGATGTCGTCTGATGAAAATTAAGGAGAACGGGAAATTTTAAATTTCAGAAGGATTTCGGGGATGAAAAGCACCGATTTCTCTCCCTCTTAGGGTTGCACAAGACAAGACAATATTCGTAAAAATATTGTATTGGTATTGAAAATTTTTAAAAATTTAAATCTTGTCTTGGTCTTGAGTGAATATTAGTAGCAAAAATTTCGTCTTGTAGTGTCTTGTCTCGATTTTATTAACAATTTTTTATCTAATATTAAAAAATTATTTAAATAATATTTAACATAATTTTTGTAATATAATTTAAATTAATTATTACTATTGTATTATATTTTAATTATAATTATTACTATGTAATCGATATAAATACCGTCTATTTACATAAGAAAACATTTACTGTTTCACGGAAAACAAAAATTAATAATTATTTACAGGCTCCAAGGGAATGTGCAGATAAATATTTTGGAGTGATAAAAAAATCAGGTTCATATTTATCCCACATTATCAAAAATGGCTCGAGACATTTTAAGTTCAACTGCCTCGTCCGTGCCAGTAGAAAGACTTTTCTTAATAGGAACTCTGATTATGTCAAAAAATAGAACCAAATTATAAAGTAAATCTTTAAAAGCATTAATATGCATCAATTCCTGGGTGAAATATTCTTTAATGTCTAAAATTTGATTTCTAATTTATAAAAATGTATTAATATTAAATGTTTTTAAATTTATCAATATAAATGTTTTTATTGAATAAGATTTTTTAAAATTCGTATATAGTGATTTTTTTTTCATTTACAAATATAAATATTTTAGTTTTTTTGAGAACCAATAATCTTGACAAGATTAATAATCTTGACAGTCTTAATCTTGGTATTGTCTTGATAACTAATTAAAAATCTTGTTTTGATCCTGTCTTGAAATTCAAGACAAGACAAGACAATATCAAAACTAATCTTGATATCTCGTGCAATTCTAATGATAAAACAGTCAATTAATGAAATCAAATAATGAATTGTCAAACATTAAGCGTGAAACGCACACAAAGAAAGAGCATATATGTATGAGCTCGAAGTTTATTATTAGATCAGTAAGTTTAGACAAATAAGGAAGGCCACACACAAATAGGTTGTTTAATTCTTTCTCTTTCGAGATATTTACCTGAAGCGAACATTAATTTATTTGCAATAATGAGATGTAAATAAACTCGCAAATATTTTGGGTATGTTTGCAAATTTTAAAACTTCAATAACTCATGTAATAATAATTAATAATTCGTGTTTTGGAATTTGAATATATTATTTATATCTCAGGAAATAATAGATTATAATTTTATTAAAAATTTTAATTCTCTTCTCTCTTTCTTTCATGTTATTTTTTCTAAAAAATTATTTTAAATATAATTATAAAAATTTAATCTGTTTTTTTTTTATTAATTTCTATTTAATATTTATAATCTATTTAATATCATCAGTACAATTTAATTGTACACTGAAATAAATCTTTACTTGTTTTCATTTTATTAATATTGATAAAAATTTATATATTGTAAAAGTTGCGAAAGAATTTAATAATATGTGCAATTTTATATAATTATTTGACTGTTTTATAAATGCAAAACTGAATATTGTATGTGACACTCTTGATAACTAATTAAAAATCTTGTCTTTTGATCTTGTCTTGAAATTCAAGACAATATCAAGACTAATCTTGATGTCTCGTGCAACCCTACTCCCTCCTTTTCTTGCGCTTACAGCTACCGTTTCCCATCTTCAAAAAAATGCGACTTCGGAATTTTTCGCGCGAGACACTCCATATTTGCCACGTCGACGGAGGTCCATCGGATCCTCTGTCCGAGGTGACGCGCGAAAAGGATTTCCTGCCAATAAAACGGAGTAGCCTCGACAGGATAAAGATTTGTCGGCGCTCAAGCTAAACGGATCGCCGCCCGAGATCCTTCACGAGGTCTCGCAAATGAACGACCCGATTGCTGGACGTGGGAGCCTCTTCGGGGTTGCAGATTAAAGTTTTGCGAAACGGATGTCCGTAATATCGCATCGAGGACGAAGCTCTTGCGTCTCGAGATTATTAAACGAGAAAGAGAGATGCTGTCGAGGATGTTTCGGAAAAGTCGGTCATCGAATATGTATAACACCACGATTCATAAAATCTGAAAGTTGTTACTAATTATTAAAGTGAATTTCTTAATTAAATAATAATTTATTATATAAATTTATAGTAAAATAAATTTCTTAATTATAAATAATTTATTATATAAACATTTTATTATAATATATAAATTAATATATGAATTAATAATTATAAATTTATAATTATATAAATAATTTATTATATATATTTATAATAAAATAAATTTCTTAGTTATAAATAATGTAAAATTGCACGAAATCAGGATTAACAGGATGTTTATACATTCAAATTTTAGAAAAAAATTCCATCAACACTTCAATTCTTTTTACATATTTTTCTTCAAAATTCCAAATAAATATTTTAAAGATTTCTTGCTGTAATTCCTAAAATAAGGTTCTTATCGTATGCGTTTTCTAACATTTTTTACTCATAGAAAAAAACATCAAACTACTGAAACTACAAGTGCTAGATTTATAATTGAACAAACTGAATAACTTTCGTTAAGCTGGAAATTTTTAACTTTCATGATATTTTCATTTTTTATTAAAAATTAAAATAAAGAATATGTATTTTATATTCAATATTTTGTTAGGACATTAAATGTATAAACAGTAACATAGTATATATTTATATTTTAACGCATAATTCATTTGGTTTGCCGATTGTTATAATAAAATGAGAATAAAATTGAGAGAATCTTTTTTTTAATTTTTTCAGAATATCAATAAAAATTATCCGATTTTTCTTTACGTGGAAAAAATTTCCTGAAAATCCCAAGTCTTCCCAGGAATAAATATCCTGTTAAATTCTTAGAAATCTTGATAAAAAGAAGATTAAAAGTTCTCATAAAGAGAAATTCAAATAAATAATTTCAGCAGAG